TGGTGTGTTCCATTTTTTGTCATAGGGTCTGGCAGATTACGGGCCTCCCATTGCTGCTGCCAGGCCCCTTAATCTGCCATGGGCCCCCTGTACCGCCTCCTCATGCTGCTGCCAGTCCATGTACGCCTCCCATTGCTGTGTCTCATGCCATGTGCCACTTACTTTCAGGTCTCCTCACACTGCTGGTGTGTTCCATTTTTTGTCATAGGTTGCTGGCAGATTACGGGGCCTCCCATTGCTGCTGCCAGCCCCTAAATCTGCCATGGGCCCCTGTAACCGCCTCCTCAGCTGCTGCCAGGTCCACAGTGTCTCATGGGTCCCTGTACGGCCTCCCATTGCTGCTGTCTCCATCGCGACACTCTGCCATGTGCCACTTTCAGGTCTCCTCACACTGCTGGTGTGTTCCATTTTTTTGTCATAGGGTGCTGGCAGATTACGGGCCTCCCATAGCTAGCTGCCAGGCCCCTAATCTGCCATGGGCCCCTGTACCGCCTCCTCATGCTGCTGCCAAGGTCCACATCTCTCATGGGTCCCTGTACGGTCCCATTGCTAGCATGTTCCATCGCCACACCTGCTGCCATGTGCCACTTTCAGGTCTCCCTCACACACTGCTGGTGTGTTCCATTTTTTGTCATAGGTGCTGGCAGATTACGGGCCTCCCATAGCTGCTGCCAGGCCCCTAATCTGCCATGGGCCCCTGTACCGCCTCCTCATGCTGCTCCTCCAGATGCTGCTGGGTCTCCCAGGTCCACAGTGTCTCATGCCATGTGCCACTTTCAGGTCTCCTCACACTGCTGGTGTGTTCCATTTTTTGTCATAGGGTGCTGGAAGATTACGGGCCTCCCATTGCTGCTGCCAGGCCCCTAATCTGCCATGGGCCCCCTGTACCAGCTCCTCTTCATGCTGCTGCCAGGTCCAGAGTGTGTCATGGGTCCCTGTACGGCCTCCCATTGCTGCTGCCAGGAGGCAGCAGGGTCGCAGCAGTGTCAGTGGAGGCAAACGGCCACGGAGTAGAGCACCAGCTCCACTGCAGCCTACCACCACGGCCAGTAGTGGTGCCGGTGTGCACGGAGGAAGTAGCAGTCAGCCAGTGAGGAGTAGCGGGGGCAAAGTTTCCTACTCGGCGGTGTGGCAATTTTTCGTCAAGCCGCCCGAGGAAGTAAACGTAGCCATATGTCGACTATGTGGCCAGAAAGTCAAGCGTGGCCAGGGGCCCATGTTGGGACTACAGCGTTGCGTCAGCATATGCAGCGTCGCCATTCGGTGGCCTGGGAAAACCGTGATAAAGATACGGCGGTTCTGCCTGCCCCAGCCCAGGGTTCCATTTTGTCATAGGGTGCTGGCAGATTACGGGCCTCCCATTGCTGCTGCCAGGCCTTAATCTGCCATGGGCCCCTGTACCGCCTCCTCATGCTGCTGCCAGGTCCACAGTGTCTCATGGGTCCCTGAACCGCCTCCCATTGCTGCTGTCTCCATCGCCACACTCTGCCATGTGCCACTTTCAGGTCTCCTCACACTGCTGTGTGTGTTACATTTTTTGTCATAGGGTGCTGGCAGATTACGGGCCTCCCATTGCTGCTGCCAGGCCCGTAATCTGCCATGGGCCCCAGTACCGCCTCCTCATGCTGCTGCCAGGTCCACAGTCTCTCATGGGTCCCTGTACGGCCTCCCATTGCTGCTGTCTCCATCGCCACACTCTGCCATGTGCCACTTTCAGGTCTCCTCACACTGCTGGTGGGTTCCATTTTTTGTCATAGGGTGCTGGCAGATTACGGGCCTCCCATTGCTGCTGCCAGGCCCGTAATCTGCCATGGGCCCTCGTACCGACTCCTCATGCTGCTGCCAGGCCCGTAATCTGTCATGGGCCCCTGTTGTCGCTTGTTGGCATATTCCGCTCGTTCAGATGCTCCTTCTCCTGCTACTCCTCTTCACGGATTCCGTCAGCAGTCTTTCTTGGAATCCGTTTCCAAGAGACAACAGTTTGCGAGCACGCACCCGACGGTGCAGAAGCTGAACGTCCTCCTGTCCAAGTTGCTGCTGCCAGGCCCGTAATCTGCCATGGACCCCTGTACCGCCTCCTCATGCTGCTGCCAGGTCCAGAGTGTGTCATGGGTCCCTGTACGGCCTCCCATTGCTGCTGCCAGGCCCGTAATCTGCCATGGGCCCCCGTACCAACTCCTCATGCTGCTGCCAGGCCCGTAATCTGTCATGGGCCCCTTTACCGCCTCCTCATGGTGCTGCCAGGTCCAGAGTGTGTCATGGGTCCCTGTACGGCCTCCCATTGCTGCTGTCTCCATCGCCACACACTCTGCCATGTGCCACTTTCAGGTCTCCTCACACTGCTGGTGGTTTCCATTTTTGTCATAGGGTGCTGTATGGCCTCCCATTGCTGCTGCCTCCACCGCCACACTGTGGCTCCACACTCTGGTTTTGGCCCCGTGACTGCCCAAATGAGTGAAGTGTGCGGTGATTCTAAGATCGACGGCACTCATCTGCATGTCATACTGACTGTCAGTATTATTTCTCTTCCCCAGCAGACTCCAAGGGCATTTAAATTAAAGGTACAGTGTTCTGCACTAATATAAAGGCTCTCTGAAGCCTAGAAAACACCCTTTTATAAGTTAAATTCGCAGCGAATATATTCGACTCGAATCAAAATTTTTTCACGAATTCGCCGAATCAGTCGAATCGAATTTTTGAATAATTCGCTCATCTCTAATCATTATTATGAAATACCATCTTCACCTAAGGGCCACCCACCACATGCCATGACAGATTGCTCTGAACCAGTTCTATTGCAACTACACGCCTATACTCCTGATGGTGAAAATTGTTGCTTCTGAAATACACCGAAACCGTATGTTTCCCCTCCTCTTCCTCTTTTTCTTCATTCTGTATCCCTCAGTTGTTTTTATATAAACAATCAATAAACTCAAATTAAACATAAAATTAACTCAAAAAGTAATTGAAGGCATTGTTGAGTAGTACAGTGTTTTCTAAGGAATAACAATATATGCTGGAGTGACTGTTATACTTTGAGCTAGCTGCAGTTTTTCATTCATCCACCCCGCCATTATTATGACATTTGTCATTCCACCCGTCGACATTATGACATATTGTGCTTTTCAGATTCATCATTTGCTTTATTTGGCATCTATACCCACTTACAGAATCATGTAGACTACCCTGAGACTGTCGGTCAATAGGTTCTTAGTCCACCTGGAGGTTTTGGTGGCTGAATTGTGTGTTCTTAAGCCATGGTTGCACTCAGGGCTTGGAAACCCTCCTTCCTGCATCAATAAATGCCTTATGCCTTGCTCCCTAGTGGCCCAGCATGCTGATTGAGACACTGCTGCTGTAGCTTTTAACTGGAATGCCGACTCTCACATGTGGGAAGAAGAAGGGGAAAGATTCATTAATGTGTAACGGCTATGATCACACTGGGATCAGATCTGTTCTGTTTCCTGGAATTTACTTGACTAATTGTCATTGATGTATGATCAGAGTAGAATGTTGATTTTTACAACACCCCAGGTTAGTGGTGTAACACCGTCTTACATATATAAATATTAACACACAGGACTGTATGTGGAAATGTGCACAAATAGCTGTACTAGAACATAGCAGCATAAAAGAAAATCAGAATCTGATCTACCAGCATCTTATAACCCTTATATAGCGCTACCCCTGTAGGGGCCGCTTGATAATGCTTGCCCCTGACCATGCAAGCCTCCCGACACCTCTGACACTCTGAGTTCAGACATATTTCAACAGTATAGGATAATATTGCAAGAGACACAATTCTATCACCTCTATATTAGTCTTGTTCAAAAGAGTAGACCACAAGAATATGGGTTTAGGATATACAACCCAGTTAATGCATAAAAATAGAACACTGGGTAAAATAGGAATATATAATTAGCAATGTTTAACAATTTTTACAGTCATGAGTAGTAAGCTTCAACTATTCAGTTAAGTATTAAACTGCTATACCAGCACTAAGAAGGGGAAGAAAATACTTGTTGACTTATCAGCTCCCTCTAGGCCACTGGCGCTTCAATGGTGGATGAATTATGTAAATGTATACTCTGACATAAATAGATATAAGTATCCTAATTTGAATAATAATGGCCTTATAAGAGAAGAGATCAAACATTCTGTGCTGTTTAAAGTTCCTGATATTTTGGTATCTGTTGTCTTCTGCTAGCAATGGTGGGGCCCATAAGCATAAGTGAATACTGGTAATTCAATGATAATAAACAGACAGTGGTACTGCTCAAAGCAAAGATCTCCTGATACTGAGGTGTAAAGGTGTTTGCATGCAGTATCTCTAGACTGATGACAGAAAGACGTTGGGCATCTGCCAGTTCACCAATCCCATGGATAGTACAGCCTCCTAGGAACAAGAGTTCTTACACAGGCTTTTGGCTGTGTGCAAGGATGTGCAGAGTTGCTGCATGACAGCCTGTCAGCACATGTGCAGTGATGACTGACTGAAAGCTGGATAGAGACAATCCTGATCAGAGAAGCTGATGTGATATTGGTGTGGTGATTTGCATCAACTCTGTACTGAACTGATGTGCATAGTCTTGCACCATTAGGCAATCTGTCTCTGGAGGAGAACGGCAGTCCCCCCATGTTCAGCTCTGCATCCCACCCCAAAAGAGAGACAGTTCCTTGCTGTAGAATATATCTGTTCTCCCAGCAACCTTCTCCTTCCCTAGCTCTCTGGCAGTTGTAGTTCAATCAGCACTCAGGAATACAGGATGTATTGGCTATAGGACTACAGGTCCCAAGATCCTCTGATGTAGAAAAACTGAGCCCACTCTGCTAACAGGAAGTGATGTAGCAGTCCCAGTTCTGGGCACAAAAGGGGAAAAAGGATTAACCATAGTCTCATCTGTAAACGTCCCAGAATGGTGATACAGCCGGCGCCTGGCTACACTTAACATGCTTTCTAGAACTAAAATGTTAACTATAATCCTTGCACATATAATCTTTGCCCTAGGGCTTCCAATGAAAAAAATACACCAAGGGGTTGATTTAAAGGCAAATAGGCTGTTCCTTTTGCATGGGAAGTTGTACTTTGCAAAGAATAATTGTATAGCTGCTTCTTTGGTAAGGTTGAATGAAGATACCAGGCCATCCAGTTCAACCTGTGTGGGTGTGCTGAGAGATCCATTATATGCACATAATTTTTGCGCTTCTGGTAAGTGCAAGCACACTTCATTTTATACCACAAAGAAGTCACTTGCTATTTTTCCTGTCTTCACCATGAACACCTGCATTCCTGAGCTTGTTGATTTTTGGATTTCATCCATTCACCATTTTACTGGACTGTTATTTATTGGCATTTTTATGCATATGCTTCTATTATGATGATGTTTGTCTAAGAGTTATTCATAACTAACTGGATTAACATAGTAGACATCATCATCCATTCACTATTTCACTTGTCACTTTATTATTTTATGCATGCACCATTTTACTGGACTATTATTTATTGGCATCTCTATGCATATGCTTTTATTATGATGATGTTTATGTCTAAGAGTTATTCATAACTAACTGGATTAACACAGTAGACATCATCATCCATTCATTAATTCACTTGTCTTTTTATTATTTTTTGCATTTTTAT